TGATTTTGCTGATCGACAGTGTCGACTGTTCGGCTTAGACCCCAACACCGAGTATCTGATGGTGATGGATTTCGTCCCGTGCGACGACAAGAGGTATCGATATGCTTTCCACAGCAGTGCCTGGGTCGTAGCCGGTCGCGCTGATCCCATATCACCCCCCAGGATCCACGTGCATCCCGATAGTCCTGCGAGTGGCGCTCATTGGATGAAGCAGCCAATTTCCTTCGACAAGTTGAAATTGACTAACAATCAGCTTGACGACAACGGACACGTGAGTCTATGCTTTATTCTGATTTGCTTGATTCTTTCTCAACTTATTCGTCATACTAATCAACTTATCCGGCCGTACGCAAACAACGGACGCTGCGCAGTTACGTTCCTTTACAATACGCGCCGTCAATCAATTATTCCGATTTATTTGAAAAATACATTGCAGAATTCAACCAACGACAACTAATATCATCTCACTTTTATAATATTTGCGAAAAACCTATAATTTAATTTAATTTAAAAAACAACATTTCCAATTTTGCCCGCGATAAAATCTTATTTTTTCACGATTTTGAAACCTCTCGGTGTTGAACTCTCTTCGCTTGAATCTTTACGCGACGTCTCTTCGTATCGTCGTTTTCTACATCGACGTAATCTACATAGTAAAGTTGAATGAAAGATGTGGGGATTTCCACGTGTTTGTCGTTTACGCACGAGTTCGTCTTAATTGACCTGAGATACGAGTGTGTCGCTCACGAGAAATTACAGAGAGAAACGACGCGGCACGAAACGACGTTTTCACGAGGATTCTTCTACCGTTTAAAAGACGCCGCCTATACATATAAATTAATATAGATTAACGTCGCGTAAGTGTCTTGCTGCAGACTCTGTGAGATTTTCGCCTCTTCTTACTAACAATAATTAATTAACACTCGTTGCGTGTCGGCTGTCTGAAAATAATTAGCGACACAATCATAATTGAAATTAATGGCTGCTAAAGACGATTTGAAATGTTATATTGTATACTGAAAATATTTAAAAAATCTATAAAAAATTATATATCCCCGTAAAAGATCCTTTAATAATTTCTTTTTATACTATATATACCCTATTTTCTATCTACTATAGATAAGACGCGCAATTAACATTTTCTCCATTTTTTTAATAACTTCTCTCTCTCTCTCTCTCTCTCTCTCTTATATTTGTCAATCGTTAATTTTTTACAAGAGTTAAATTTTGATTACGTCGCTTTTACGATGTCAAAGCTTCGCTCAAAATTCGCGAAAGAAATATTATAGAAAATAGGTAATTATAAATACAATAGCTATCTAATAAAATGCGTTTAAAGTTTTATGCTATTCATATGGCTCGAGATATTTTGTCTCTGCGGTGTATTATTCTCGCCTTCCTGTCGCCGAGAGTGTCGTGTGTGTAAAATAACGTAAACAGATGTAATGTAAACTGCGCGCGAGTTATAAGCCCTGGGAAAGAGACCATATTTTTTGTAACGAGTATTATACCGAGAAAGAATAGCGTTGGTCAGCATATCTGTTTATTCTGACATCGCGCGACGTCCGATCTTGATTTGGAATCGATTGCGAAAATTTATTATACAAGTGCAACGCTTACGAGGCGTAATAATAAGTATGTACATATATGTATAATAATAAGTCTATACTTGTCTTGATAATTTCAGTATATACATATATGATAGCATAAATAAAAAGATTGAAATATAAAATATAAACGTTATAAATTAATAATTCCTGTTATAATCAGAAATAATGCAGATTTATTCAATCAAATCGAAATAAAAGTATTAGGAATAACTTTGAAAATATTAAAGCTGGGGGGGGGGGG